ATATATATATATATCTCACCTAGTAAATAAGTAGTACCATACAAAATTAGCTATTCTAAATTAGCTATTATTGTAGCTATTCTTTTTTATTACAAAAATATAGAATCTATCGCAAATATCTTTTATTGACCATATGTGTTTTATGCTGAAACTATCAAGAAACATTGCAGTATCTTATTCATCTTAACAAGACAAACTCTGAGAAAGAAGAGGAGCCAAAAAGTGTGATTCAGAGAGACAGAGAGACAGATTGAGAACAAAAGCCTGGGAGTTAAGCTGCGTTATTGTGGTCTTGGGCGCAAAAGGAAGAAATTGTTTTATGGAAGGAAAAATTCTTGACAGTATCAGGTACTAAAGAGAGAGGTTATAGAGCCTGAGGTTTGGATTTAAAAATCAAAATATATTCTCTCAGTACACTTGTAATTATATGGTAAGAGTAGAAAACCATAGGGAGTAGGGAGTTAGAGTGATATGGAGGTAGAAGAAAAGAGTGCTGAATAAGATTCTTAAACACATATCTCTTTCTTAATCTGTTCAGTGGCAGTAACGATACCTAACTCATGATATGGTTGCATGACTAAGTATGATTTTTGAAATTAAATGTTACAGGTGCTATAAACACCATTTGTAGTTTTTGTTTGTTTGTTTTTGTTTGTTTTTGTTTGTTTTTTTGAGACAGGGTCTCACTATATAGTTCAGACTGCCCTGGAACTCACTGTGTAGCCCAAGTTGGTCTCAAACTCACAGTGATCCTCCTGCCTCAGCCTCCCAAGTGCTGGGATTACAGGTGTGCACCACCACACCTAGCCATTTGTAGTATTTTTAAGTTAGGTAGCAAATATAAAGACACACGTTGGACATTTGTATGTGTAAAATAAAGTTATATGTGTATTTTGTTGTATTACTTTGACAAATCTTCATATGGACTTAGAGGGGCAGGATTGAAATAAATTTTATTGGATTATTCAGAGTTCTCTGCCAGGTTATGTCCACAATGGCAAAGGTTATTCCACTCCCTGAGCCTAAGCCCTGTTCTCTTCCTGTCACACACTCTGTTTTATAATTTGAGGTAGCTGATGTGTGCTTGCTGCCACCTTTCCAAGTCTGTCCAGTCAAGTTCTGTGTGTACCCTTTCAGGAAGTGAGAACCAGGAAATAGTTACTTGCATATCTCGGAAGCTTGGAAGTCAGGCTTGCTTGTTAGGAAGGAAGGGAGAGAGGGAGGGAGGGAAGGAAGGACGGATGGACCGACCTCATTCAAGATAGGAACTAGCATAAGTTGTCTATAGTAGGCCATGGGTTAATGGCCCCAGATCTCTTCACGTCTTAGGGAGGGGTATAGCTAGAAAAAGGCCAGAGTAATTTAACTGTGAGGTCCAGGAGTATAGAGCTTTGTCTTGACTGGGTCTAGTAAGTCTTTTATTTATAAACTTGCGTGGAAAGGAAGTAAATTTAGGCTTTCTTTTTTTAGATGAGGAACTTGAGACTTAGAAAAATACATGGCTATATTACTCATTAAGTATGAAGAGATTTGAACTCAGATTGAGCTGATTCTCAAGCTTTTGCTTTTTCTCCAATTCTCTACTCCCTTTCTCAGCAGCCAGTAATGCACACTGCACTCAATTTAGTGCTTGCACCCCAATTGTAAGAAATAACATTGCCATCAAGCATCTGTTAAGTTTAATTTAAGATACATGAGGTGAACATATGGGGTGTTTTTTTTATGGCTACGACATCCTTTTTTCTTGGATGAATTCTTGAGTTTTTGAGGAGAGAAGTAGTAGTTTGCATTCTTTTGTGGGTGTTGGTGAAGAGGTGGTATATTCATCCTGCTGCAGATATCAAACACCTGATTGTTTACCCTCACTGGAGGGTGTCTTCATTATCGTTCTTAGTCTTCCTTTCATAGTGTTTCAGTTACCTTAATTATTGGAACCTAAAGGTGAAATTTCTAATATTGTTTAATATATTTTTGTTTAGGCCTTTTAAAATAGTAGCATTGTGATGTGAAGACTGCGGACACATCATGTATTCAGAGCAAGACAATGAGAGAGCTTTCAGGGATGATAGAAATGTTGTGTATCTTTCACAAAATATTAATTGTAAATGATAAGTACAAATTGTACAGCATGATATGTTAGTATGAGTATGTATTGTGACGTGACAAAATCAAACTATTAACATATGCATTACCTCCACATATCATTTTGTGGTAAGAACATTTATACTTGATCTTAGCCAAAACGTGGAGAAGTGATTGTGGTAAGAACACTTAAAATCTATTTTCAGCAATTTTCAAATACAGTCATATATTTCTTAACAAGAGGACTCCATTTCTGACATATGTGTTATTAAGCAATTTTGTCCTTAGAGTTCACTTGGCCTCCTGATGAAGACACAGTAAACACAAGATTTATGAGGCTGCTGCTGGCATACTATTTTACAGTAAACTTTTATTTACTGATACTATTTGTTATTTAAAACATACTGTATATTTTTGTTATTACAGCATAGTATTTTGCAGTAAACTCTTGTTTTTTGTTTTGTTTTTGAAGCTCGGGGAATTAAACTCCAGTCCTTGTGCATACTGAGTGAGTGCTCTATTGCTGTGCTATATCAAGCTCAACAATAATATGCTATTAAAATTAGATACTGTTCATAATCACCACCTACTCAGAAATCTTCGGTATAGATTTAGCCCCATAACGTCTTTCCCCAATTCAAGGCTTTATTGTCTTTTATTAAGGTTGCTCACTGGTAGAGCATACTTATGCATACTTAGCATGTATAAGGCCTCAATAGGATTTTTTTTCCAATTTCATTATCATCTTAATGGGTCCCTTGTTGTGTTGTATGTGCTTTGTCCTTGACCGAAATGTTGTATGAATATGCCATGTGTTGTTTTTTAACTCTAGTCACTATGACATATAGACGACCTTTAAGGTTATTCATTATGTTGTTTCTGAAATTTTGTGTTCTTTGACCAGCGTCTCCCTGGTCCATTTCCCCAGCCTCTGGTGACCACAATTTTACTTTTATTTCTTGTTTGTTTGTTTGTTGTTTTGGTACCAGGGATTGAACTCAGGCCCTTGTGCTTGCGAGGAAGGCTTTACTTTTATTTCTGTGAGTTAAATATTATATATCTGGATAGATGTTTGGGTTATATTGAGTACACTCATCAGAATTTATCCTGGTATATACTTGGCATTTTTTCATGTAACTCAGCTTTAAAAATGTACAGTGTAAGTGAAAAGTAATGAGCTCTGAGATGGTTAGCAGTAGAATGTACTGTTGTCTGCAACTTACTTTGAGGTAAAGAATAAAAATAATTGAATGGATAAATGGTTAAATATATGATGAAGCAACTACACAAAAATATCTTGTAGAGGACATTGTCTTTGTGAGTATTCATTGAGCTGGGCTTTTTGTTTTTGTTTTTGCCATACTAAAAATGAACTTTGTGTGTCAGGCAGTGCTCTACTACTGATCCACACCCCCAGATTTTAACTG